TCAGCGAGTTCCATGAGGACTAGCGTGGAGGGGAACGGTACACGTTTTTCGTAGGTCGTGAATCTTCTACACCGCAGTGTATGGCTCTAGCACTTGGTACTTGTAGCCTCTTGCAAAAAAAAGAGGTTGCGATCTAGGTAGCCTCTACCTAGCCTAGCCTAGTCCTGAGCTTGCAAGATGGTCAGTGTGCCTTCAGGTCGCAGGTTGCCTATTGCCTGAGTCCTCACCTTCAGGTCCGGACCTAATTGCCTGCATTTCGCGCTACGCGGCGCGGCGTTACTCGCGCCCCTCAGCTCAGCGCCAGCGCGCTATTTGCCCACATTTCGCGCAAGCGGCGCCCACCTCTTGCGCTTGCGCTACGTGGCGCGCGCGTCGCACTAACGCGCGCGTCCCGCTAGTGCCTTTTTCCCAGCGCCAGCGCGCCTTGCAGACATTTCGCGCTACGTCCAAGAAATCGAAGCACGACTCGAGGTGAAGAGTTCTTTCGGTAAGTACCTCAACCGTAGATGTGCCCAGAGGACGTCTAGGCTGTAGGCGGTGGATGGTGTTGTTGTTGGCCAACTCGAGGCTCTCACAAACTTTCTGTGGGCGTTCAACCTCTACCTGGAAATAGGCATGTAGAAATTGCGGCACAAGTGGGCCTGTGGAGTTCGCAATCTTTCACAATCTTTCTTTTTTCTGCGCAGCCGACGTGACAGCTTGGGCTGCTGCAGAATTCATCAAAGACAACGACACAACACTATCGTGCCATTTAAGAAACTAAACAAGATAATCCGGCACTGTGTAAAATGTATACACATTGAGATTTCGGCAAGACAGGTTTGCGTTTGCACGTGATGCGGTCAGAACACGGCATCTGTGGGAATGTTTGGAACAAGACTGTTGGAAGCGGCAAGAGGAGCATACATACACAGTGCAAAGACAGTTACAAACATTGATTCTCACACAACATGCAGCACAGGTTTGGAAGTCTCACGTTGGGTTTTAGATCTAGACAGCGTAAAAGATGCGATGTTGGCTTTCAAGATGTCTTATGTTTGTGACTTGGAGTGTGTTTTGCGCAAACATGGCAGTTATGAAGCGGCTGGTTTGCAATCGAATTGTATTTTTTGACGACTTGCTGTGTGTCATGTGGAGTTGAGCAGGTTGCTGCCAAATAATGTTGTTTTGAGCTCGAGGTGATCTCTTATTGTCTAAGGAACCCCACTTTTTTGGTTTTTCGAAACAAAGTGTCCATTTCCTTTTGTGTCGCGATGCGCCTGCATGTGATGTCCTGCCGGTGCGAGTCCTCATTGCATGTTTGGCCAACAGTTCGAAGCAGCGATAAGATTCGAATGTTGCGAAAGCTCGGGTAGCCGTATGGGATCATGTTTTTAACTTAGCGACCAGTCCAGGATCGTGCTGTAACGATTCTGGGAATTGTGTCTTTTGGTTTCGTTTTGTAGCATGCAAATTATCGGGATGCTGACAGCTTCCGAGACCTTCGCGACTTCTTTGGATTTTTCATTTTGACGTTTTGTTGAGGAAGGCGTGCTTTCAAAAGCTAAGGGTATCGCACTCCCCCTCGCGCCAGCAGGGGACCATTCCACGTTGAGGTCCACGTTGTCTTTGTACATACTTTGCAGACAGCAGGGTTGTGGTCGTACATGATGAAGTGTGTTCTCTGCCCGTTGCGGAGACTTAATTTTCGTATTCTGACAGCCATCGGCACGAGAGGTCGCATGTTCAAGACAAGCCGCAACCGCGATTGTTGTTTACAGATTGTGTCATGCCATGTACGGTGCGCACTGTTTGCCCGACAGTGAACCATGCTGGTAGCATGTTAAACCGGCAATATGCGCCAGGCTGGTTCGCTGCATGTTTCCGTTGCTGACAGCACACTGGAGCAGGTAGAATTCAACATCCTCGTTGTCCAGGTGATCTTTGCTTCGTAGCGCACATGCACTGAGTACATCATCGAACCTGATTCAGATCGCTTTGGCCGCCTTCTTCGTGCATTGGTTCCGGAAGCCTTTGAGCCGATGGATCACAGCAAAGTGAGCTCATGCAAGAGTACTTCTGTGGTGGGTCAGTTGTCGTTGGAGCGTAGTAGAACTGCAGTAGCAGAGCTGTCGCATGCGCTTGTGGTAGGAACTCCTTCGGCGCAGGTACGAACGTCTCAGAGTTGCCTATGAGAAGGTGGGCTTGGGCTTGCCAGGTCGATAGCGGTTCCAGCAAGTGCAGGTGTGATTTCCAAACGAGAGAGCAAAAGAGGTGAGCCAACGGCGACAAAAGCAAGCTGGAAGCGAGGACGCTAAGTCGTGGGGTCAGGTGAGGCAGCATCGTTTCAGGATGTGGACCATGCTTTCAGATGGGCAGTAGTGTGGCAAAGAGTGCGTATGATCAGGACAACTTGTGCTCCTTACGTTCTTCGCATGCGACTTCCGCTTCACCTCCGGAGCATCGCGAAGGCAGCAACAACTTGCTCAGTCGGAAAAGGCATCAAGATGCCGAGACGATTGTAGCATGGATTCCGATTCTGATGAAAGGTGTTTGCTTATCAACCCGCAGCCAAGCAAACATCAGGCCCACGTCGAGCTGGACCGAATGCGCAAGCGAAAGTTCTGGAAAAGCTGAAGGCTTGCCAGAGTGAGATTCGTCACCAGGACCAGCCTTGTGAAAGCTGTTCAGAGTAAGCCCAATGAGGTATTGTCAACGCAGCAGCTGCTAGAAGCTGCGTTTGCCCAAGCTCTGGAGTGCTGTCTGGAAGTCATATGAGTTGACATGAGCTTGATATTTACCTCAGGTTATTTCGTCTGATTCAAGCAGCGGCGCTGAGGTTGCTCGATGGAAGTTCCGGCTTGCTTCGTTCGTGATTCATGATGTGTCTTGAGTTGTGCTCGACTTGGGAGATGGTCAGGACGAGCATGGCGTTGCGCCGGAGCCCCTTGAACCTGATCGCTGTTCTCCTGGAGGTTGGCTTCGGAGTGTCACGGCAATCCCATCGCTGCGCAGTTATGGTATTTATATGCTCGGCAGCGTCAGGTGCGGACGAGCCTGCAGCAAGCTCAGGCCTTGCACGCTTGTGTCAGCTAGCCATGGTCGGAAAGGGCCAAAAGCAGAGAGGGGCAAGATCAGCTTCTTTTGACTATGACTAGGCAGCTCGAAGCCGTTGTTGTCCAGGAGCATGGAGGCTCCATACGGCACCGAGAAGCGCTTGCACACAGGCAGTCTTTCCTTGCAGGTGTCCATTTGCGCAGACGTTCGACCGGGAAAGGCACGAAGAGTGCGGCTGCAAGGCCTTGGGTCCTAGAAGTGAGCAGCAGGTCGATCAAGGGATCCTGGACGCTGTGGCTCTAGCATCCTCAGAGCTGAACTTCGACGTGTCCGCCCGCCATGCGTTGAACAGCAGTGAGATGACGATGTCTACAGAGGGGAGTAGTGGTTCATCAAGCGGTGGAGATTTCCAGTGCTTTTGCTTGGGGCATCCAGGTGGGACGTCGTGTCAAAGAAGAACGGCCTGAAAGTGTCCGCGTGCTTGCGATGCAGCTTGGCTGGGAGCGCTGCATGTAGCGGTTGTAGAGGATGGCCCCCTGGCTCCCCAGGGACCGGCTGCAACTGGGAGGTCGATGGCTCTGCCCCTTGCTGCCCTGCGGTCTTCCTCTGCTCTCTGCCAAGAGGCTCTGGGCCTGGCGCTGCTCCGTCTGGAGCAGCAGCTGCTGCAGGCCCGGCCCTCATGCCTTCTCAGTCTTCTTGTCTCTTTGTCTTGCCCAGGGTTTCTGCGAGTCCTCTTCTTGTGATTTCCTCTTGCATGCTCGTGACATTGCAGCTTGATACGATGCAGGTAGTATATATCGGCGTTGTGCCGACCGGCCGGCGACAGCACATCGGACGAGCCCTGGAACCTTGGACGCAACTACCATCGACATCAGCTCCCGTTGGAAACATCGCAGTCACAGGTGAAATCCATCAGGCAGGTTGCCAAGCATGTGCCTTAGACAGTGAAAGCTTGCGGTGTCTCGTCCGGGCACGTGTGGATGCTGAGGCGAAATCCCACTTGTGTTTGCATCGTGGCCGTGCTTCCAAGAATCCACTCCGTAGAGGCGTTTGGGTGCACGAGAGCTGCGTTTACTCGGAAGACATGTGTTGTGAGGCAACGGACTTTTTTGAGGCCCTCGGCTTCAAGAGGAGTGCAGGGAATCAGGGTGACCAGGCCTGGCAATGCAGCTGAAGCTGAGCGGGCATGCTTGCAAACTCTATGTGCCGGATCGTGGGACTGCACTAAGGCATGCTTCAGACTCGATGTCCGAAAGTTGAGCAAAAGCCGTCTCCTCTGGAGTGGCACGATGTAGTGATCATGTGCCTGCTTTGAGTCTTGCAAACTAGATCGGGAGCTCTCCCGACAGCATGTTCAGCTTGAGAATCTCAGTTGTGTGACTTGTTGCACTCTGTACGGAGTGGAAACCACAGGTCAGCGTAAGCTCCTGGAAAGGCTGGCAGAGTCGTTGAGACGTTTAAGGCTTTCGTCCAAATCTCAGCACAGGCCTGAAGTCCTCACCTTGTCACCAGGCGCTCGTCCGTTGAAACTGAAAGTCGTGTTTGCACGAGGTTCAGTGTTGCGAGACAGCCTTTCGCAGGTCGTCTTGTAGTTTGGGAACAGCTCTTGGCAGAGGTTGGGAGCGTGTCTATGCGCAAGTTTGGTGAAGATCTTCTTCCCTTTGTCTGCAATCCCTTGAGCATGAACTTGCGCTCGCCCTCGCAGCTTTTGCAGTGCAATATGCAGCAACTGCACTCGAAGTCCCTTTGCCATACAATCTTGCATGCAGTCCGATACCTAATCTGAAAACCAAGAAGAACAACACTCTCTGGCCTTCACTAGAGGTGAGTCGAATGTTGAATGCAAAGTATTTCCGGACATCCAGAAACTCTGCGAACAGCGGAGATCGAGCTGACAAGGCCCTGAACAAGCTGGGGAGTTGCTTTGTGAAGTGGCTCGGGGTCGGCATGAAAGCCACCTGATGTGTGCATGAGAAGGACATGGTGCCAGAAGCTGTCGGGATCTTGATATAGGATGAGATTCGACTGCGAACTCGCCACTTGCACTCACCATGCCTGCAAGACGGTTGGTGTCTCTCGCTCGCAGCGTTTTGCTCGTGTTCCGCCTCCTGCTCGTTCTTGCCATGAGTATTGCTGAACTGCGTCATTGTGAAGCGACAACACACCACGTCCTCAGCACAGGTTCGGTTAGCAAATGAAGTCAAGAGAGCCAGAAACTGAGCTGTTTTGGCAGCAGGTGACGCTCGTGTCATTGTCATCGGCGACGTACATGGTTGCGCACATGAGCTTGTGAAGCTTCTGGCACCTCGATCGAGCCAGCACGGCTGAGGTGTGCTGTGATGATTCAATCACTAGTCCGTTGTTGTTCTGTGGCAAGCTGATCAGGACAAGTGTGAGTATTCCCCAGGCAATGGCGACGATGCCTGGCTTACATAACTGAGTTATCGGCGCAGGAAAGAAGCTATGTGTGGGCGAGGTGGTCATCCTGCTTGGCGATCTGGTGAACAAAGGACCTCATTCTAGAGAAGTTGTCCGCCTGGCACGGGAGAAAGGTCTACATGCCATTGCTGGCAATCACGAGTTCATTGCGCTTCTTGGAGTTAATGGCAGTCCCTGAAGGGACGCTGAGGCAGGCATACTTTTCGGGTGCTTGTTCAACATTTCTTGAGTTTGTCATGTCGTGTGGCATATCGGCGTCAAAAAAGGCTACAAAAGTTGAATTCATGGAAAGCGAGTGGTACCATCCCCGAACCCGACGAGCATGGAAGCTGGGAGTGGTTGCCACTGCTGTGCCTCGGTTCAATGCAGGGCATCGAGATCCTGGAAGCTGTGCTGCCTTCCGTCGACGTTCCCGCGTGCACGGCTCTGTGGCAACGAATGTGTTTCCTTTCAGGACTGAGGCTGACGTGGACTTCATCCGGAAGTTGCCGTTTACAGTTCGATTGCCAGATCATGCCGACCTGCTCTTGGTGCATGCCGGATTGGTGCCTGGCAGACCGCCGCTTGAACAAGCTTGGCACAAATCCGCGTCAGACAGGTGCAACATGTTGAGTCGGAGCTGTGAATCCCGGATTCGGTCAGGCTGGAGGAGCAGTCTTTGGAAGATATGGTAATGTTACGTCACTCAACAGCAGAGAAAATCTAGCCCCTGCAGAAGCACAGCGTGTTGGCTTCAATCATCGAATCCCAGGGAATTTGGTAAAAGCCGGGTCGGAGACCAAGATCTATCAAGCCGTGCACGATGTCCGAGCTGGTGAACCGTGCCGCGGTGGATTGGTTTGACAATCTCCGAAGGGCCGAATGGCTTTATCCTTACATCCAAGGTGGGCTGCAGCTTGGAGCTCCTGGGTTGCCCGGCAGTCTCGCTGAGAGCTCACTTCAGGCGTTTCCCAAGCGCTCTCACCAGCTGCCTAAGCTGCGTGGACCTAGCGGCAGGCCATATCCGCAACAATGTACACAACAGAATACAACAGAGTCTCCGCAGGCACTTGCAAGCCTACAGACACTGGAATTTGGGCAAGCAGCTCGTACATGCCCGTACCGGCAAAGCCCAAGCACATGCTGTGCGTTGTTGGTTTTGTCAACCTTGCCACAGAGGTTGTGTGACCCCCAGGTTGCTGGCAGCCCGATGAGTGACAGTGACATGCCGAAAATGGTAATGTTCGGGCATGATGCCTGGCAGCACCATTTCAGCAGACCTCGGATTCTGATTGAACATTACGACTCATGAATATAACATGTCCTTTCACCAGAAGAAGGATGCACCACGTGGTTTCCAACGGTACCCGCACGCAATCGGATTGGACACCAACTGTTGCAACGGAGGAAGTCTTTCAGTGTCTTGGTCGCTTATGTGCATGTCATTGGAACGGATAAGTCGCATCGCGCAGAAGAAGATGTCGCTGTCAATTTTCGCTTCACTTGCGTGTTAGCCAAGACATGGTGAAGTAAGGCCATGGTTCTTCCAGCACAACTAGTGCAGGTGCCGGCCACAGGCAGGCTGATCGAGACAGACAGCGGTGCACGTCACTGGCGTGCAAATTCAACACGCGAACAAGCTGGAAAAGGATGATTCGTGCGGCTTGCTTTCGTGGCTGGGGGATCCAGCTCAAGAGGTTGGCAAACTGCCCAGACCGATGTGTGCATCGCGACCAGATATTGGAATCAGCACAGCGCTTCATGTCTCCCAAAGCAAAAGACGTTGAGATCCCCTGAACATGCAGTGCCCTCCTTTTCGTCCTGTACTTGGTGCCATCCGACTTCCGACGACAGTATCCATCACTTCTCTGCGACTAAAAGGACTAGAACGAACAAAGCTGCAGCACGTGGTACCAGGCTTGCTCGTGGTGTATTGAAGATCTGGAATTGCCCTTTGAGGGGCAGGTTTATTGCCATGATGCTGTGGTGAGAAGCTGCAGCTTCAGAACTGTGATACGCTTGGGCTGCATAGACCTTGCAGGATCGCACTTGATATTGTGCCGGTTCGAAGTTCAGGCACAACAAGCTGAAAGCAGTTTCACAATGTCAGAGGGAGCCACATGCACAGATAGATTTCCTGGCTTTTGTTTAACATGCGGCAACATGCGAGATATGAAAAGTTGCTGGAAGCTTGCCTCCAGTTGCAACGGCGTATTCAGGCTTTCCCCTTCCACGAGACCTGGCATGCATGTTGCCAAGGTTATAGCTGAAGTCTCCCAAGCGCTTGGGCCTGCCCTCAAGATAGGCATCCTTGCTGGTGAGACACAAGGCCTGCATTGATGGCTCTTGTGCCGTTTTGGTTACATCATGGTGCGCTTGATGTGGTCCTGCCGGTACTTTTGGGCTTCATAGCTTGGAGCCCAGCTTGGCTGAGAACAGAACCCAGCACAAGAGCTCCCAGACCGGACAGCTTTCACCACTTGCCACCAAGCCACATGTTGCCTCCCCACATGATTGCCAGCTGCGTGTGCCGTTGATGTGACGTCTTTTAGCCGCCATGAACAAGGCAGGGTGCTTCCCTTACTGCTTGCGCATGAGCCATCGACTCCCGAAAAGGCACGAGCAATGCTGGATGCCCTCATGGGCCTGAAGCCTGGAGAAATCCCGAGCGGAGAATTTATTTCGTGCTTCCTCTTCGGTAAGCTGCATGATCACGCTGTCACTTGCTAGCTTCGCTGGTTGCGTCTCCAGTCATTCAGGTTCATGACACATCTCGCTAATGTCAGCAATGATGCATGCGGCCTTCCAACACTGGCCCCTGAAGAAATTCATACTATGCGATCTCGGCTTTGATGACAAGCCATGTATTTCGAAGCCAATGTTCTTTTCAGCAAGGCCCACAGCGGGATCAGAAGAAAGACGAAAATGCCGAAGACTGGAAGGCTGCAAGATTCTGCCACGTTGACTTTGTTCCCACCTGCATATCTCCTGTGCCCTGGCCTGGCGGCCCGGTCTGTGCTTCACAGTCGGGTGCCATCGCCCATGCCAGGACAAGAGCATTTGCAAAGGTGTCGTGGCGTCAACAGAAGTTGCTGAGTAGTGTTTCATGCAAGCGATTGCTGAAAGACATTCTGCTGTTGGAAGCAATGCATCCTTGCAGAACGAGTTGGTTTCTGTGCACCCTGCGAGTCACTCCCTATCTTCGTGCCGCTAATGTTTTCAGGATTGTTCCGTGCGTGCGAAACATGATATCGTACGACATCACTTGCGACTTCATTTGTACTGCAGGTATGGGAGGGTTGCATGTCCCCCAAAACCCTTTGAAAGCAAGAAATACCCACCGTTTTTTCCTGCTGCTGCTGCTGCTGCTGCTGTACCTGCATACTTCCTAATTGTGCTGCCTGCAGAACCGTGAGACAGAAAGCAAGATGCAGTCGGCACATGTTGTAACCAGTAAATCAGAAGCTGAGGATATCTCATTGGCTTTTGTCCCTTCGACAAGGCACGTGATTCGCAGTAGTTCGCAATTTACTTCTACGATTTGTATATTGAAAGCGGGCTCTCCTGAATAGCAAGACTGGCTCTCTGTCCGTCTGAGTTTGCTGCATGCAGTCCGTTGTGGGCGGCAAGCGGGGCATCGATCCTTGCGACAAGATCCACTCGGAGGCGTTCAAGCGTTTGGGAGCAAATGCGAACCTCGTGCTGTCTCTTGCTGATATTTCGCACGTTTATGCAGAGCTATGCAGGTGATCCGAGAAAAGTTCTTAGCCACTAAAGATGGCAAAGAGGGCAGCGATCTAAGAATCAAGTACGAGGACTCTTGCGGGCGTTCTCATGTCCTTATCTGATATCTAGAGCTTCGGATCGGATCTGGCGAAGGAGTACTCGATTCGCGACTTGGAGTTTTGTGTCCAGGAGGCCGAGGCCAGCGTCCCCGTTGCAGAATCGTAACTGGCTCACATACTTGCCTACGAGGCATACGGCCGAAGAGAGGTAGAACGCTTGCGGAAGGAACCCAGGCCGGCGACACAGTTTTCAAACGGATCTGGCAGCTTGAAAGGTGGTGCCAGTGCCGTGATGCCCTCGCACATGGGGACAGAACTTCGCTAGAATGCAGGCGCAGAAGGTAGACTTTGGAGACTCTTGGGCTTCAAATCTGCTCAAGTCGTCACGGCCTTTAGTCCAGGCATTGGGACACACAACGGCTCTCAGAAAGGGCCGATACAGGCGGGTCGGGGTATAACATAGCTGAACCCGCTGAAACCGCTGAACCCGTCAATCGCAACCACCCAACGAGTTGAATCAGCCGTGGCTTTGTTGGCTCTGTGCGATGAAAGGTCCAAGGCGCTGCCTGCCGATGTGAACCAGTCGCCTTGCTGCAAACGCCACTCGGGGTCCGCTCGCCATTGACGCGCCATCTGTCTCATAAGAATTGCGGAGAAGCTTAGTATCCTTGCCTTTCCCTCTCAGTCCTATATTGGGTTCTTACCCGAACACTTTGCCGATGCCTTCAGCGACTTCAACGCATTTTCTCAGGAAGATTTCGCAGATGAAGCGGGAAAGCACCAACTTGGCGCAGAAGCCGGGCTCACAGATATCCGCGTCAGAGAGGGGTCATGACTCGTCATGACTGCTCAGCCTCAAGCATCTGTCCGTGACCACTTTCGATCATGATTCCAAAAGCTTGATTGTGCTTGCTGCAACATTCCGTCCCTCTGTTTCGCATGGCTCTGACAACAGCTTCACCTTGAAGCCAGGGCCAACGCTTTGGAAGACTGCGAGGCTCGCAAGAAGGCGAGGCCAGCATTCGATGTGCCGAGAGAGGTGTACTTCGACTTCAACAGGTCATTCGAGAGTTCCACAACCAAGAACATCTTGGGAGCACTCCCTGCATTCCCAGTCCGGTTCCAGGAAGAGCTGACGAAGCAGTCTGACGATCTCTTGGAGGAGGCGAAAAAGTATGAGAAGGACCGATCAGATATTCCTCGCTTATTGAAGATTGTGTCCCAGCCGAGCAGAATAAGGAGTCCACCTGCTCACGCACACATAAACCTGTCGCGGCGAGTGTTGTATCATCAGCATCACAACGATGTGACGTAGACTGGCGTACAAAACAGCGTTTACCTGGCCTGCTTGCATGCATGTGGTGCAGGAGGAGGAAGAGAAGGTGAAAGCTAATTTTCGGCCGTTGGCGTGTGAGGCAAGGCCTTCTGTGCTGCTTCGCGGCTATTCCAGCTTGCGGCAGGTTTGTGGAACTGCATACATCAGCCGCGGCCGAAGTTTTTCTTCCGACACTGCCGACTCCAGCGATTGTATTTGTGAGGCAACAACGAGGGCGAATATGAAGCGCACCTGAGGTACAAGGCGATCCTCTAAGTCGTTGACAGTCATGAATCGTATTTCTCTGCCGCGAGATACACAACAGTTACGCGGAGATCCGCGCCCGGCTCAAAGAGCTCAAAGACAAGAAAGCCCTGTGCTGAGTTGCTTTGAGAGCGCGGCGCAAGGTCTTGTCAAGAGGTGTTTGCAACCGCTATTGGACCGAGGCCGAGCGCGACAGAATTCTCAAGGAGAAGAAGGTTCCGTTCGTCCCAATAGCATCTGGTGGCATGATGTTGTGGGAACCACCGCCATGCAGGAAGAGGAGCGCAAAAAGAAGAACGAGGAATACATGAAGAAGGCCCGCCCGCTTTACGGACTTCAGTGCTGCATAAACGAGCAGTGAGCTCTGAGGTTGCAGAAGAGGAGAAAGCAGAGCAAGAGGCTGACATCCTTCATCAGTTTGTATCTATTATACTATTAGAACAGTCTTTTGCAGGCTGGTGGCGACGGCGAAGGCAGCAACAGAGCAAAGTCCAAGAGCAAACAAAAGGACCTGGAAGCCACTGGAAGTGTCGAAGCGTCGAAAATCTTTCAACTCCGGGTCCTCCTGCCAACTGTGAGGACGAGTCTCAAAAGGAGAACGGTTACAAGAAGAAAAGGTGGGGTTCGACCGAAATTGCCTCTTGGCCACCATGCCCGAAATCGCCTAGGAGGGGTAGCCGAAGCAAAGATCGAGGAAGAGGCAAGTCAAGAAAGGAGCTGCACTGAACTGCTCACTCACAATGTAGTGCCGACTTTGGAACTAGGAACGCTGGTTAAATCCGTGGCCGAGGATCGAGACAGGGATCGCCGCGGCAGAGGAAGAAAGGCCTGGATGCTGTTCGAAGGCAGTCTCCAAGAAGTGATGCTTGATGGCTGCAATAAGCTGCCATGTGCAGGAGCGTCGAGGCCTCGCGCTTGCTGTGTTTAGAATTCGCAGCTTACCATCGCGTGAGAGCAGCTGCGACACCCGCTTGTGTATGGTCAAATCATTCTGCAGGGCAAGATGGTAGGATGGATGCGCCCTGCGCCTGTGTGCTTGTGATCGGATGACCTGCCTTGTCCCAGACCGAAGCAGCAGCCGCTCCCGCAGCCGGAGTCGACGCCGACGCTGAGAGCTCCACGCATCCAACAAAGACGAAGTTTGCATGCCCACGCACACAGACAGACATACGGACATACGGAGTTGGCAAAGCAGGGCATGGCACATGTCGCTCAACAGGAATATGGGGATTTGCAGAACTAGCTATAAGTCAGGCTGGGCAGTCGAGTGCTTAACCCTTAGCCGCTTCAATTCAACTCAGAACCAGCTGATAACTTCGGGTCAGCTACCGCTGGCGCACTGTGCACATGCTCAAAGACTCTGGTGCCAAAGCCGCGAAATGCGGGCGAAACAAAAGACCATGCTTGTTGGAGCAGTTCTTTCGATCCGGAATCTGTCGGGAGCACTTGAATTAGCTTGCGGCGGTTTCAGGCTGCAAGGAGCTCGCAGGGCAGGCAGGGCGGGTGCACCCACAAGTGCGCGATTTGTCGCCGAGAATTGAACATGGTTATGATGGATGCATTGGAATATCAGGTGAGTTGTCATGAGTTCCAGGTCGCCATGCAGATCTGCAAAGATCTGCATCAAGCAGTCGTTCTGTTTGCTGGATGCTCGGAAGTTCAGGAGAGCAAGGTCAGGCCGAGCCGGAGCACTGACCAGTCCAGTTGTGTGGGAGGAGACCTTTGCAAACTGCGCAGACGGATCGATGGCATGGTGCCCAATGGTCCTAGGGCAAGAAGTCCTTAGCCTTGTTTGTTTCGATTTTTCTTGTTGGGCCGAGGTTTACACACTAGTCCCAGCTGGTGGCATGCTTCGCGTAGGTGACCACCTGAGTAGCATCGTGGGATGTTGAGCATCGCTGCAGTTGCCGAGACTCGTGCTGGGACCTTGCCATCTGTTCAGTTGTAAGGTCAGGCGATCCTGGCCGGCGGAAGCATCGCAGAAACACAGCATGCTGCCCAGTTTGCATAGGTTTGCGAAATGTAGTCTCCTCATAGTAGCCCTAAACGGTCTGCATACAGGGCTGTATGTGATTAACTAAATCTGCTAGGCTGCCAGCGTGCAATACATGTCTGCCTAGAGAGAAGTACAGTAAGTCTATTCAGACTATCACTACCCCCCTGAAAGGAATACGTACAGGACTGTTGCATAGGTCGGCCGAGACTTGGCTAGTTTCTTTGTTATCAACAGATCTTAGACGGCCTAGAGCACAAGCAGATTCGTCCAACATGCAGCCAGTGCCCGACAAATCGAGGACCGTACTTCTCCGAGTTGCCGACATCTACATTGCGTTTGCCGGAGGGCCTCAGGTCTCCGAGCAGGCACGAAGGGTCGCTTGGATCTGGCATGCCTTGTCTGCGTTTGCCCTTGACATCTAGGCAAAGATCGTGTACTCTCGCGGGGCTTTTGCCGTGGCCTCAGGCTGTGGAGTCGCGATCGCCTCGTCGCTGAAATCATTTCATGTCCAAGAGTCCAAGCACCTCGAGTTTGCACTCACTGCAATTGCAGCAAGCGGGTTGTGTTGTAGGACCGTAGGAGGTGTGTGCACGTTTGAAGGGTGCGGCTGGGAGGTCGTCCCCTTGCCCCCTGGTAAATGCGCAAGAGGGTTTGGAGCTTCACGCATTTGCAAAGCCGATAGGAATGCCCTAGTCAGATTGCTCTTGAGTCCAAATTGCTAGCTGCTAGCCGTAAGCTCATGGGCGGCTCAAGCCTTTCTCTGAGGTGTCCCGCACATGCCGGCTTCACAGTTTTTGCCGCACAGTCCTAGCATAGCTAGTGCAATGTCAAACTCCGAAATGGACAAGATGGCAGGCCTTTTGGCCCGGTGTGCCAGCCAACTGGAACAGCTGAAAGTAACTTTATGCTAAAGTGGGACAGATGGAACAACGGTTAAGCATGCCAAGCTCTTCTTCTACTGTATCGCTGCCTTCGGCGCTGCAGCGGTCAGCGTTGACAATTTCGGTCGCAGCAGGAGTAAACCTCAACACGCGGCCACAGTAGGGCAGTGCATGGAGCTGATCCAGGCAGCCATGCAGCGCGGTGCGGTCTACTCTTCCCTTGCCACCTCACAGGCGGCCACCAAAGACAGGGTGAGCTTGCTGGAAGATCCGCACAGCCTGATCCGAGAAGGTCTTCCTGATCGCACAGCTGGAACAGGTCAAGCTCACCATGCAGGAATTGGCCCATGTGGATGACCCTGGAAGATCGCAAGCTCATCGTCGAAAAGCCTTTGATGAGGTCAGGATGGGCGGCATGGATGGCCTTACCGCCTCACGGCTGGATGTGGGAGCCCCGGGTGATTTCCATCCTCACAATCGCCACGCTGCAAGAAGATCCTCGAGGTTGCGGACGGGGTCTTTCCTTGGTACCTCCAGGCCGACACCAAGAACAAGGAAAAGGATAAGCAGGACGCCGTAGACACTGAGGGAGACCTCACAGCCAGCCTCACAGCCCTCACAGGAGCGCACTCCACAGGAATGGCGTGGTGCTGGTCCGGTCAAGTTGTCGCCGGGCGTCATGCAGTTCGAGCTGAGACTGATTTCGCCAGTTCAGGGCCTGATGAACACGTACAGGGCGGCTTTCGCCAGGTTTTCCAAGGAGCCGCGTATCCTCGTTGGAAAACGCTTATCCTTGTCAACTCGAAAGAGGCATGGTGGGGGAGGAGAGTGTGCAAGCCCGCTCGTACTCCCAAACGGCTGGATCCCTCACATGTCTGGCAATGTGAAGTTCACATTCCCAGTGCTTTCCCCGAGCAGCGGTGCAAGATCTGGTACGACCAGCTCCAGCTCCGGCAGCAGGTCAGACGACGGTCAGCAAGCTTACAGCCCAGAACTATGCGGAGGCGAAGACGCTCAGCGGCTTTTTGACCAAGGCCATCCCGGCTTATACAATGCCGGAGAGGAGGGTCTGGACGATTGGCTGGCCAGGTTCCGCTATGAGTTCAATGCCCAGTTGCTAGACGATCTGACATCTAACACGGGAAGTGTGCGGCCACGCGCACACTTCGAAGCCGAAGTGGCTGATGAGCAGCTTACCTCACAGGCAGACGACCAGGAGCAGCTCTCAAACTACGTTCACCTTTTCGAACCGAGAGTCACTCACGACCTTTGCTTTCTTCAGACTTTGATGCAGAAGACCACTCAGGACAGGGTCACCTATCAGCGCGCCAATGGTAACCTGGTGCAGTTGGACCACACCGGCACCACGTTCTCGTGGAGGAACATGGTCACGGATGTGCACACCATCCCGGGAGCGGCTCTCGGCAGCAATCACTTCCAACCACAAGAGACAGCCCCAAGCAAACAAACCCATTCGGCGACTGGAGGCGGAACAAAGGCAGGACTTAAACGGCCACTTCTAATCCCACTTCTCACAGGCCAGCACAGAGACCGGAAACCCAACTCCTCCGACAGCGCCGGTACAACCCCACTCAGTACTCAGCCCAGCAACCCCCCAGCAGGACATCGACCCAAGAGCAAAGGCCCAAGCACGCCTGGATCTCCCGCCAGACATGGCAGCTGATTGAGCAGCGCTCAGCAGCTCGCAAGAGGCAGGACAAGGAGGAGGAGGAGGAGCTGCGGTTACACAAAACCATGCGCTCACAGGCCCGTCTCGCCAAGCAACAGTGCTTTAAAGACCGGTTAGCGCAGAGCGAGGTCACAGAGGACGACGAGACAAGTGGCGCTGGATCAAGCGCATCCGGTCGGACCACAAGCCGTGCACGGTCACACTCACACGGTCCGACGGCAAGCCCGCAGGCTACAGCAAGCAAACTGACACGAGCACCTCGCCGCGCAGCATTGGGCTCACCCCACACAGACGACAGTCCGGTGAGCATGGAGCTCATCGCGACAGGGGAATTGGGCCCGGTGCTTGAGGGAATGGCTGCCAACAAGGTTCCGGCGCCCGACAGCATCCCATCGGAGGCCTCTTCAATGGCTCACAGCCGAGAGCAGAACACCCTTGCTTGAGCTCAAAAACACGGCCCTGCGCACAGGTGTGGTCCCACAGGCCTGGTCAGAAGCCACTGAAAATCCGCAAGAGGGGCACGATGGCTGACCCCAATATCTACCGGCCCATATCTTTGCTGAGCAAGACAAGCTCTTCGCGCGGATTTTGCAGAAGCGGGCTGGAAGCGGCTATCGAAGGTAAGTTGCGCGCAGCTCACAGTCCCGCTTCCGAGCCTCACGGTCGACTTCACAGGCGATCCCCGTGGCGCGCCGTCTCATTGAGAGCGCCGAACGCCACGGGTCAACATTGTATGTTCAACTCCGTGGGCGCAAGCTTCCTGATAGGCTGCATCCAGCGGCGGTCAAACATGCACTCATTCGCCACGGAGTCACACCAGCCTTCGTCGACTTGGTGACGGTTATATACCGAGCCCCCCACCTTCACAGAGAGAGCAGCGGGCCAGACGAGCCAGCCTTCCTGACAGGCGGGCTCTGAGATTCGTCAAGGATGCCTCCTGTCTCCTTGCCTTTTTCCTGGTGGTGGGTGCACAGCATGATCATGGCAGATGTGGCTACAGCCAGAAGTAGCCGTTCTATGATTTGGCGTACGTGATGACACTGCCAACTTCACAGGCACAGCAGAGGGGGGCAGCAGATTCTGCACACGCTGCAGAAGATGGCAGCCCACAGCAGCCTTTCCCTGAACTACCAAGACTCGGTTTGCTCCACTCGACCACCGCCTTCAATCACATCCAATTTCTCACAGGAGAGCGGATGGAGACAGCCACAGACCAAGTGTAGCTGCGGCATACTGTTATGGTCGGATTCCCCGAGCAAGACCGATGTTACCACCGTTCCTGGAGACACACAGGCTTGAGCGTCGCCTGGGAGCTTTGGGATCTACAACCCGGTGTTTGTCCCGATGTTGGCCTATGGTATGGAGTCGGCGGCACTCACAACAGCAGACCTCCACAGGCTGGAAGCCTTCCAAAAAGACAACCCCAACGCCCAGACCATTCGCAACGAAGGCGTCCGTGCCCTTGCAGACCAATGCCCCCTCACACACTACATCCACAGGGCACAATTAAATGAGCAACTTGGAAAGGAATTGTGTTTTTACGAAAGTCTTTGTTTACAGGGGTGGTACTGTAAAGTCACGAAAGCTAGCCTCCGGGGCTAGCAGAGTTTCTTATGAACCGAAGGTTGCAACAAGGGGTGTGGGGAAAGGGCCCCTCAAAAGTCTGTCAAGTGGTGCCGGTTTCCCGGGCTAGTTTCCCGATGGGGCAGACCCACCTATTTTCGGGCATGAAAAAGGAGTGTTTCGGCTTGCCCTGGAACGGAGAAACGAGCCGCCAATGATGCTCATGATGCTGGCCTTCCGGGCCCGGCCGGGCGCCAATGATGCTCATGATGCTCCCCGCGCCGGCCCGGCCGGGCATCAATGATGCGCATACTTCTTTTTGAGTGGCTTGCTTGGCTCGTATGTGATGTTCGGTGCTGTGACTGTTCCAATCTCCTGCATTGCAACAAGCATGATTGTCTTTCGGTGCTTTCTTTGGCTCCTACGCTCAAGCTCTTCCGCCCAGCCAACCAGCAAGAAAATTCCGTTTGTCGGCATGTCTTTCCTCAAGAGTAGCCCTTGAGCCATGCTCTGTGCCGGATGCAGACGTCGCGTCCGAGTCTCGGCCAGAAGACTCGCAGCTGGTTCGCAGAAAACCCGTAGAGGCCATTCCATGTGATACCCCCGATCTCATTCTGTCCTATCATGCGCTCAGGACTCTGCCGGCAGTGCTTGGAGGATGGTGGTTCCATCATCGGCTTCGACATGATTTCTGCGAGGCTCCGAGCTCCAGCGATGAAGGCATCCGAGCTCGCCGAGGGGTTTTGGGGTCTGGGTTCCGAGGAAACACTCTAATGTGGAGGCGCCGCAAAGACTCCCAAAAGCCAAAATGTTCCAAGCTCCAGGTGCCGCCCACATCCTGCGTGGAACTCTAATTCCTGCTCGAGGTTCCTCACGCCCGTTGGACGACGGGTACGAGGCGTCTGGGCTGACGGCGTTGGGATTCCCGGGTATAAGCTTAGGCAGTCCTAGGTTGCAGTTTCAGCCCGCCAGTCCTGACTCTGTGCCAAACTACAAATCTTCGAAGCCTGCATCCCTAATCCTTTTCAGCATCCTTCCCCGTCCTTAAACCAGGCTCCTGGCCGCCGCCCAATTCCCACGTAGAGCTCTAATCTTTGTGTCGCCCGGGGACTATTAGGAAGTGGCTCTTGGATGACCGGCAGAAAGTCTGTGACCTGAGAGTGTTGGGGTCGCGGTTTTAAGCTTGGACTTGCGAGTCTCCGGAGTCACTGCTCCAAGCCCCGTGCTTGGCTTGCCAAGTTTGCCATCGCTTGCCCAGACTGCAAAGCTTACTAGCTCTCTAGAGTTTTAGCTCTATCCCTTAATTGGGATGGTTCTGGCGGGCCGGGCTTCTGCAGCGAAAGGGGAAGAGCCATAGGGTCTGCTGCCACCTGATCCAGACATTGCCAGGAAATCTCCACCCACTGGTTGTCAATAGGTTGTTCTCCTGCGGCTGCAGATTCGTGGTAGCCACTGACATGACAGCTGCCGATCTCCTGCTGCTGCAACCTGCAAGCTTGTCGTGCACCCTGCATGACCCTTGGTTCACGTGGCGTCGTGACGTCCTTCGTGCGGTGTCTTCGCACTTCCGTGTTGGACACATGTGCCGCTCGGATGCAAGCCTCCAACCGTGGAGTCCTCTTAATTTTCCGTTAGGGCATGCAACATTTATGCCTAACCTGAGAGATGTTGTGCGTTTCAGTAAACCTCACCGGCTGGTGTTATTGGCCGGTGCTTCTAAAAGTCGGTAGCTGCAGCGGTCGCTCACCCCGGCACAAAGCAGCGCCAGGCAACACTGCGACTGCGACCTCCTGCTGCCGGTCGTTTTGCCGTGGCTCCTGGTCGCGTCTCGCAACAGAAACTCAGCTCGGAAATCTTGCTCCTCCAAACCTGTCGGTAGACATGTTTTCCTGCTGCTCCTGTCGCACCTCGCCTGCAAGCTTTGCGTCCTGCTCCTGCCTCGAGGAACCACCTGGCGGCAGCTGTGCCTGCTACGAGCGCGCTGGCGTGCGCGGCAAAAAAAACCGCTTGGCCGCCTCGGCTTCTCCACTGCTGCTCTGCCAAAGCTTTCGTCCCAGTCCCTCTTCCACAAGTCGGGAATAAGGCCAGGTCGTCGTAGAATACACTGGGCAGAGCAGTGCGCCGAATTGGCGTTGCAATGGCTCTACAGACCCCGCAGGCCTTCCCTACCGAGCACCCTACTTGTCCCTATGCCCTCTTGCAACTTCACAAGCTGGAAGTGAGCCGCCCAGTCTGGAACAAGCGAGTGCGCCCAAACAAAGCTGCTAGCCGTCTGAAGCCGTGCATTAAAAACTGGCGCAGCGCTCAAGGTCATTCCTTTGTGCAGCGGCAGGACGCTGAGAGTCGTCCAGCGTGAAAGCTTCAAGAAGCCTTTCAACGCGTGGCTTTGGAGGCCTCGGTGACTCTGACATGTGTTTCCCTTCCTGCGTTCTGAAGAAGCCAGCGTTTGTCAGAGAGGACTGCATGGCAGTTTGTCCAAAGCACTTTTTGCGTTGGGCCCTCGCAGGAGCATTGGGCCCTGCTGACGGCCAGAAATCAACAGAATCGAAAAGCTGTGGCAAAGGCTCTGAGTGCCGCTGCCCTGGCCAACCCAAGGAGTTGTGTGCTTCGCGTTTCTCGTCATGTCCGGAGCATTGTGCGAGTACAGTCCAGGGAGTCATCACAAGCGCATCCCAGCTGAGAAGGCATCCGGAGAGTGGTCCAGGCCAGTAGAAGCATGTGCAGAAACGTGTGATGTTGAGAAGCGGCACACTGGCTCGAAATCAATTGCGAAGGTTCCTACACTGGTCGTAAAGAGAAAATGCGAGTTGAGCGACTCGCCTTGTCGACCTATGCGAAGGCCGGACTAAAAGCATGTGGGTGTCGAGGCAGCGTGAAACGGTTCTGTTCATTCAGACTTTGGACCAGACTCTCGCCTAAAAAACGATGTGGACTGCCTGAATAACTACTATGTTAACCAGCATGCTGTGTCCTGCCTGTTGGGTCCATAGACGTGCAGCAACATACTTTCGGGCGGGCATACTCCGTTACTGCATGATCATTTCGTGACAACTCCGGAGGAAGTATTGCCTGATTGGTCCAAGAACATAGTTCATGTCCTTCCAGCATGCGCCAAAAAGGTGTGCAACTATTCTTTTCGAGTGCAGGTGTGCATCTGCCGGGAATCTGCCTATTGCTTGTGGTTCGACGGGAAGACCGGCACCAGTTTCGTCTCTTCATATCCCACCCCCAGCTTCAGACCATTTGAGAGGCACTGGTACACAAAGACACAGCAAGCCCGTCACGCAACGCTAACACACAGCCGAATTCTGTCGATGTACGCATGCTCAGACACCGTGCTGTGCGAAGATACATTGCGACTCCTGCCGCGTTCTGATTTCCCGGGATGTCATTGTTCACAGAGGCGAAAAGATGTTGCATTGCGTTATTCGGCATGGATCTCTGCTGTGCATCTTGCACCACATAACCCACCACGTGACAGACAGCGAATGCATCAGCGATTTCTTGCTGCCCAGACATTTGCCACATGCTATGCGGCTGTGCGGATTGTAAAAGTGGCGCGTCGCCACAACATGATTAGTCCGGCGGCAGATCAGCAGCGGCGGACGGATCCCTGAGAAATTGGAAAATCATGGCTCCGCCGCGAGTGCGTTTAGGATATCTCCGATATTTTGCAGGGCATCACTTACCCTTAACGGCAAAGGGGTTGCGTGTCTGCATCTATGCATGTAGAAACAGGTACACGCTACATGGATGCGCTTACGGAAGACTCTTGGGCCGACTGCCAGGGCACTCCCTGGCTCTCGCACTGCCTGGATGGCATCGGCAGACCGGCGCTGGAGATGGCCGGCGATGTCATCTCTGCATTGGGCTCAGTGCAAAGAAATCCAGGAGCGAGATGGTTGCTGTTGCTGTTTCCCACTTCTTCGCTTTGCACCCCGGCCTCAAACCTGGCTTCGAAATGTTTCTGACCTAGACTTGCAAAGAGTTGGAATGTGAGTCCCAGGTGTCAGCGGCACATTAAATTTGCAACGGTGAGTGCGATGTCAGCAGAGGGAGAGAGCATTTTGGTTCGGGTGAACAAGCAAATCGCAGAAGCTGCCAGCCTGAAACATCATTGCAGAACCTGCAGGTTGCTGGTCCACCAGTGTACAGCTTCTACTCTGGGCTCTTCACAATCTACAAGGCTTGGAGTGCTGCACGCATGGGTGTGCTACGATGCTCCAAGAGACAAGAGGCTCTGCCTCGAGATGCAGCCACCTGCCTGTGGGGTCTGCCCGGCAATGGTTGCAATTCGCAGTCTCTGTCTCTACCGTCTCATACAGACGCGAGCGAACTAACTTGAACTCTGAGAAATAAAACCCGCAGTGCGATCAGACTACCTGCTGCGAGGAGCAAAGCACCAAATGAGAGCAAGTCGGGTGTCTTGATGGTCCGGTGTGGCAAGAGCCGTTCGGCAATTAAGATTGATACCGACGGAGATGGGAAAGTTCAAGAAGCCACACTTAAGAGTTGCATGCCTCCTCCACAGCAGTGCGGTGTACCATCCCGACAGAAGAAATCGCGAGCACAATTTGCAGAGCCCCCGGGTCTCAACGGCTTTATACAGCATGTCTGTTGACTCTCTTGTCATGCAGGTCTTGGGCAATGTTTCTTCGGCGGCCACTATACTGCCTTCTTCGCAGCAGCTGAATCCTTCAAAAGTGCAGGTGGTGATCAGATGTGGAGGACCCAGCCAGCTTACTTGGGGCTTAAAAAAAGCATTTTGAACATGCTTCTTAGGCTTGCGAGCCTCCAGGATCTCCAGGCCCTGCTGCTCTGCGTTTTCGAGGCACCCTAGTTACAGTTGTCGGCAAAGGTAGATGCGGTTGCAGTCCTTCAAGCAAATGCCAACATGGAGAAGGACGGCTGCAAACTTTGTGGCCCGCCATCTGCGATTTCCGTGCTTGCCTCTCTTTCCTTTCTGTCACAGGATCTAGGAAAACCCACGTCGGCCTGGGAAAAGGTCCAACTGGTACTCTGTACGGTCTGCTCCTAAGCAGGGTGCTCCCGCGAACTTGGTAGCAAGTGTAGCGCTTGAGGTTGATCCACAGCGTATCTCCGATGCCCTGGGAAGCCTTTGGACGGGTTACATGGTGCCCCGGACATGTTTCTCACCATACCGTCTTCCGCGGTCTTTGTCATGCCTTGAACTGCCAGGGATTGGTACTCGCTCTAAAGTACAAGTTTGCAAGGACACGCTCTTTGCCAGCAGCAGGACAATCTTGTGTATGCATTTCCCGTGGCACATGCCTGTGAGGACAGTGGCCTTCGCTCATTCAATAGGCAAGGCTGGCTTACTGCTTTTGCGCTGTCACGAGTGGGCTGGAATCACAGACGTTGCATGGTTTCGCGGCCTCTGCTCAAAAAAGCACCAGCGGTTGCTCTTCCTGTAGTTTCTCACTTACTTGAGTCATTGGTGGTTTAGTTTGAACATATCCAAGTGCGAAGGCGTACCCGTACAGAATAGAAGTGGGAGAGTTTCGGGTTGTGCCGCATGTTGGGGAAAGGGTCGTCCAACAACTCAATTCGATTCGGTCTCCGCGAAGGTTTCACATCTCCGCGAAGCAGCGCAACCTTGCTCGTGTGGACTGGCCAAAAAACCAAGATCGCTTCTGACTTTTGCGTCCCCATGTGTATCGAACGCAACACCAATCTATTTTTTTGTCCGGGCAAGTGTTCACTGTGACTGCAAACAGCCGGTCGGGTGCCTATGGTCGACATTCTCTCTCACGGTCCGCCGTGGCCACGCCGGTGACCCTCAATTTCTCTGGGCTTGGTGGACTTGTGTGGGGCAATGTTGCAGCGGCACTTGTGGCTTCGCCGACTTCAGCTGGCATCCCGAGCGGTCAGAGCTGAATTGCACCCTGGGGCTGGATACTGCAAGTATCTACAGGTGGCTCCGGAGCCAGCGGATTCAACGGGTGCTCGAACACGTTGTCAGCATGAAGAGATGGGGGAGGGATGGACGGATGATGGTGGATTTGCTTGGTGTTCTTGGAGGTGCCTTGATAACACCAAGTAAGACACTAACAGAGAACACTAACGCCTAGGAGTTAAGAGTCCCCCTTGTTCATGGCAGGGGATCATCTGCGACCGCTGGCTGCTAAAGTGCTAGCGACCAGCGCTTGGAACCTCTTCCTTCCGAAGCCGCAAAACGCCATATATTGCAGTATATTACAAATTTGCGAGGCCTGCTGCTCTCGCAGTGACACCACCTGAGACCTGGACTCGGTCTGATGGCGAACACGTGCTCTCAAGCACCATTGATGTCTTCGTGTTGCAAGGTACCGTCAATGGATTGAGCCGAGCATCAACCTTGGCTGCAAGGTCCAGATTGCTGATGTGATCTTAGTAGTTTTCATTGCAGACATTGCAACCTGTTTTCCACAAGATTTTGCGATGTTTTGTGTGGATTGTCGCTTGAAGTGTCCGTTTTGGAATTTCCTCTGAAAGAAAGACGCATCATGAGCAGTGCCACCGGTACCACGGCAAGAAGGAAGATAAGGAGCAACACATAAGAACTTCAAGAACGGCGGATGCGGGCAGCACGAACATAGCAGATGCAATTGTAGACATGAATGGTTCAGACGATCAGAACAAGTGCTCGTAAAGTTCCACGTAACAATAGTTGAGTCACTAATCGTGACAACAGATCCTTGTGTTACACGTGTTGCGTATTCCAATTCAGGCCAACCGAAGCCTCAGCTGAGGGGGTGCAGAGCCCACCACAACAACGAAGCCACAGGGGCGGGGTACAGGCCCCACCCCACAGGGGGGGAGGGGGGGAGGATACCATGGGGTGGGGGGGGGAGGGGGTGTGTGGCAGCCCTGCATCATATATCTTGATAAAATATGGTGCAAAACAAAGCAATGTTAGAGTTTCAAAGAGTGCGGGGTTTGAGGACTAGGGCCAGTGCCTGAGAGGGCCGGGAAGCCTCCAGCCAGCCCCACAGTACTCGTCTAGATCCAGGTTCATTATGATATATGGCAAGGAGATATAGCTTCATTAGTGACTTAAATCATAAACTTGACCCACCATATTGTATGTAAAGTCAGCTCCGGCAGTAATCATGTTTGTTTTCATCGTGGTAGCAGCAGTGCCACATATGACATTGGCAATCCATTGTTGTCGTCATGCATGTCAATTTCAACAGGTATAGTTGAACGAAGCCAACAAAACGAATACATCCAATGATGTTCATACTCACATCTCCAATGTCATGCTCGCAAGCCAAACGTTCCGATGGATGCACTGCTGTAGCAACTGCGAAACAACAGTTCCACATACGTTGTACCATTTAACATACATCTAGGGTAACAGTGGTAGTATGTCCGTTCCAACACCGATGGCAGAGAGTCGTAACTGATACAAGGTGATAAACAAGCTTCCGCAAGTTATCTGTAATAGGTATACGGGCAGGAAGGCACAAAAAGTAACAAGTCTGGTGATGCTGTCCTGAAGCGGTGCGTGCATATGCTTCACACTACATACAGGGAGGCAGTGAGAAATATGGAAGCAGGGTTGGCGAATACATGTACTACTTACAACGTGTTGATGTTGCGGTATACATCCAAACACTGGTGCTATGCAGGGGACAGGACTGCTACGGCATGCTCGCAGGTAACGAGCTCGCACTCCGTCTGTCTTATGAAAGGTTCGGTTGTTTAACCCAAGCCGCTTCTCAAACTTCATACTTGCGACTGATGATGTTGTCATGGTCATATAGTCATACAGTGAAGAAATTGAAAGCACAATACTTTTGGTGACATATCTGAAAATTTCAGTTTTTGGACAGAAAATCACCCCGGGACCTGGAAAAGGTTTGAAGGCTAGTTCCAGGCCACGGTCGCCTCTCGGATTTGCAAATGTCAGCATAAAAGTCGAATACATGTAGGTACAAATGTTTGTTCTGCCAAATACCGAAGTTGCTTCGGAAACCTTCGGAATCAGCAAAGTTAAACCTGCGGACTTTAAAGGATCCCATTGAGGGTATATTGGCTTTCCAAGCATACGCTGCGGCTTTACAGGGCCATCTAACAACATTTTCCGGAATGTTCTTTCGAAGGAGACTAATCAAGCTGAAGGGGGACCTCCTCGAAGACAATGCGTGTGCAAATTTGGATGTATTTCGCACGTTTGCAGAGCGGTCAGTATGCATTCAAACTCAAGGGGTCTTCACGACAAAAAGACACCTTAATGTCAGTGAGTTTATACATGGGAGGGGAGAGCTTGTGCAGTTTGTCCTCCAAACCTATGGAAGGAAAAGATGTCATATCTAGGATATGCTACACCCATGTGACAAGGTCATCGGTAGCGAATGGGACATGCCCACAGACGGGAGCTATGTGTCAGGGGACTACCCGCAGTAATCTTAGATACCAGGTGTTTCAATTAATGCGGGGCTCGTCAGAATAGGTTTCTATGAGAACCCAATTTTTCTGGAATGTTTATCGGCACATACAATGGGGATTGACAATAGGATCTATGCTGGCGTTGAAGGAATGGTATGATACCGGGGCTTTATGAGCAAAACGATTCGACAGACACTCTTCCTTCACATAGCCGGGAGTCGGAAGATACCATCATCCCCTCAAGTTGATAGGATTCCCACAAGCTTTCATGTAGAGCTGTGCAGACATGCGTATGGTAATTTAGTTTATATGATAGGCACGCACCCCCACAAGTTCCACCGTCATAAGTGGATCTGCAGCTGTGAAAGGCAATTGCCACGGCTGCTGCTTGGAAGCTTCAACGTGTTGGGATCACAGTCAGAGCTTCGATGTAATGTGCCACAAGCATCCACAAGCCGCCAGCATTTCAAATTTGTTGCATGGTATTGCATGATCAGATTCTCTCCTCCGTGCAAACGGGCATTGCTGGTGGATTGCTCGTCGGAAGGCCAGGTGTGTTTTTCGTTTGAAGTGATGCAGAATGTGACGTTTTCTTAGGAGTGCTTGGTCGCTCCTGCTGCGGAATGCTCGGGCATGCAGTGTGAAATGCTGCTGCTGTCTTTCCAAGCAAGCAAGGCCTGCTCTCCATCGCCGTGGAGTGGTTTCAAAACAGAGCGTGGAGGCTGGCGTCCAAGATGAACAGCCGGCTTGTATTCGAGATAGTGTGTGGGCTAGCCTCATGTGCGGTGGCGTACGAGCAAAACACCTTACATGAAGAATTTTGATCGAGACGTTGAGTGTTAGGCAGCAGCAGGAAGCAAGCGTGTCATCATGTAAACCAGTCCAGAAGTGCTCGAGCCATCCCCGGTCTTCGCTTCAGCCTAGCACCTTTTTTTTGACGACCAAGTCTTAGGGCGTCTCGGGTCTTGATTCTTTCAGTTTAAGTGAACACTGTAGAGGGCATCCCAGGACTCCATGGTGGACGAGCTCATCGGCTGGAGCCAGGAGCTAAGCCGCTAAGCGCTGCACGTGGCAAAAGTGTGCAAGAGCAGAACCTGAGGCTTGGCTGCTTCAGGAATATACTACCAGATTGTCCAAGGGGTGCGGCGGCCAGATTTCTCAAGGGATGTGCCGGGGTGCCTCCAGCTGCACAAGCCATCGGGTTGGAGCCAATCGCGAGAACCAGCCGGGCCCCTGGAAGATTCCAGCTTCTTGCTCCTATCCGTGCCAGGGTGGTGCTCCACTGTTCTTATTGCCTCTGACGATTGTCGAGCCTGAAGCTAAGAAAGGTCGTGAGCCGCAAGCAGCACTTGTGTAGAGTCTCTCTAGGACCTGGTTGCAGTGGTCCGTGGCCTGGCTCGCAGCGGAATGAGAAATTACTTTGCACAGGGAGCTCTGCTCTCTCAGGCCAGCACCAGTGTCGATGTTTGGCAAAGAGTGCTAGCATCTTCCATTGTTTCGCATGTACATACAGGCTTGGGTCATGGGCCCAGGTCCCTCAGCCCGCAGCTTCTAGGTTGCCAACAACTGGCAGACTGGGATTTCCGTGGCTACTCCCCGCTACCCTGCGATGTTCAGGAATCGATTCGAAAATTTCTGCGACTGGACCGGAAAGTTGCTCGATGCTTTGATACTGTTGCAGCTGGGTGAAACGATTGCACGCAAACGTAGCTACACCGATTTCGGTGCAGTTTCGACGATGAGAGGCTGAGAAAAACTCAGCCCACCGGAAGAGTGCGCCCGTCTAGGCCCAAGTGCTGTAAACACAGCAGCTCTGTGCTCGCGGAAGCCTTTCCTTTTCAGGTTCCTGCCGTGAAGTCGACGCAGAGGCTGCTCACATCACGAGCCATGCGAGTCGTAGGAGGCTTGCAAAAACACATAAAAGCACGGAATGCCAGGGCTGCCTTGGAATTGAAGCCCGATGCGGCGGTAGGGAAGCAGCAGGCACGCTGCTCCAGCTACAAGCGTGGCTTTCCTGGCAGAGTTTCCTTTCAGCAACCTGGTGCCGTTCAGGACGTACCAGTAGAGACGAGGGATCTTGACCTAGAGCCTTGGTTGCGAGAGATCGCGCACGAGACCTGCGAATCTCACCAGCTGTTAACTAAGGAGATGGAGGGACAACCTGAGTGCGATGACACACGCGAAGGGGTTGCCTGTGCTGACGGAGCGCGGCAGACGACGCAGGATGATCATGAAACCGATCATGAAACAGTCGAAGAGATTGAACCAGATGCTCAAAGCGGCCCGGAGGTATCCCAGCTGCTGTGTGCTTTTTATGGCTCCGTGTCTGTCCAGCTTCCGTGTTGGAGGTCCCTGAGCCCAGAGCCGGCAGCGCGCCGGTGGGATGGAGCCAGGCTGTGGGCTTGGGACCTAGGCTTCAGGGCCAAGAAGCCACAAGTGGCCGATTTAGAACCTCTAGTCGCGAGATCCTGTTGCAGCCAAAGTCCTCGAAGGAAAGTCTGTCCCCACGATTGTGGCATGTTTTGGTCCTGCACTGTCAGGAAAAAGTTCCATGAGACAATGTGGTGAAAAAAAGGCTTTTTCCGGATTAACCGTGAGATCGCAAGATGATCAACCTGGCATTTTGAAGCTGTGCTTTCTTGAGCTCGGTAGTTGTACATGCATGCGGTGCATGCACTTGACCTGTTATTTCGTTTAGAAAGTGCAGCATGATGTTTGGATGTGTGCTAACTTTCTTGTTTCCGGTACTTCATAGAGTCATAGAAGTGGTCGCTACTTGGCTTGCTCCTGTTCTTCTGTATCACTGAACGACGAAAGTAACGCCGAAAAATGATGGACGAATGCTGGAAGGAGGGAAGTGTGTGTGGGAGGGAAAAGCCGGATAAGCTATGTCAGTCTAGTTAGTCTAGTCATCCTGACACCTGTAGCATTGTCCTGTGCAGATTCTCTTACATGAGAAACCAAGACACGTTGTAACGCAACGAACAGGGTTTAGCGAAACCAGCTGTGAGCTAACAGGAAGAGTTGGAGCGGGCATGAGCGGACGCTCCCGTGGTGACACCCATTTGCCATCAAGATTTTCAGACCCGAGCTGTTGCAGCCTGCCAAGCTGATCAAGGAACGAAGACATTCCGAAGAGAGAATATGTCCGTTGCAGAATGCATGTGAGTTAGCACGAGGGAGATGATGTCTATGACTTCTCTCTTCCGTTTTGAAGCCCCGGATGATGGACCGCGGGAACTGGTCCCCGTAAACAACAACTTTGAGCTGCATGCCGTATGTCACTACGTTCATGATGCTCATCCTTTCAGCCTGTCAGGCATCTTTGCAGGGAAAGCAAGTGGTGCAACCGCCGGCAGACCGGCAAAGCGTTCCAAAGTGGATGCCAACGCTGAGGCCCAGACGTATTGTGGGTAAGTGCGGTCTTTGGGGCTCTGGGCTCGGTGGCTAGTGCCCGGCACCAGCCTTGAATCTTTTGCTATTCCGCACTTCAATGCTCGCGGGCTCCACATGATCGGCGGTGTCTTTTTCAACACACTACCGATACGGTAACTCTCCACAGCTTAATATGAGTGTTTGCATCTTCAGCTGTGCAGACGGTTTTGGCATGTCGGGAAGTCACAGGCTTTGGTGATGGTAACTAGAGCACGCCCGCCTTTTTCTGCAATCCCGGCTGAAACACAAACGACGGCAACAAGCGCCAACAAGGCCTGCCCTAAGCTGTTTGTAATCGGCAAGGCATTTGCAGACAGCAGATGGCAAAAGGCCGCTTGGACTCTTTGAAGTTGCTTTCGCTTGAGAGTGCTGGACTTTCGACTTTTACCAGTCATGCGTTTGTCAGGCCCCCGCTCAGGCAAAGGAGGGGCGACCTCCAGTGATCGTTGCAGTGCGAGACTTTTCCTGTCCAGAAAAAATTGATGCTTGGCTGAACAACTTTGTGTCGCTCAGGCTTGCCAATGCGCAGCGACTGAGTTACAAGAAAGCCAGAAGGCTCAGAACATAGCTGAAAGTTTTGCCAAACTCAGCTCCCTGAATGCCTCTGTGGCGGCTGTCGAGTTATGGCAGCCGGTCGGGTTTGCGGCATCATCGTTTTACAGTTTCACCAGACCGGGAACAAAGCACGGATTCGAGCACCGTTTTGCCTCAGAGCGGCATGTTCGAGCATGCGTAGTGGCTGTGATCTTCTTTGAAGGTCGTGTGAACTTGCATCTAGGTCATGTTTGTCTCAGGAGCAACAGCCTGGAAGTAGTGGAAATAGCAAGTCGGAACATGCGGAATGACCTTGAGTTCATGCATGCGGCTTACCAAAACGAGAGTTTAGTCAGCAAGTCATTGATGTTTTAGCATGACTCCCTGCAACCAAGCGCGATTCGTCGTCGCCTCCAGTTGGCAGGCATCTTGAGTAAATGCTGCCACACAGGGAGGATTACCTCTGAGCGTGAAGGAAGTGCGGGCAGCGCCGCGGCCGACATGGTGCAGGACATTCCGATGCTGCAATGCCGGGTTCATGCCAACGGTGACTTGCAGGCCGCGTTGGCCACGTCCCCGGCCTCGTGCAAGCTTAGTGGCGAGACCGTTTCGGCAGTGGTTGATGGAGGCCTGGCTGATGCACCACCGCTGATGGGGGTTTGCTTTTACCAACGAGGTGCAAGAAGGTGCACAGCAGCTGGCTGCAAGCAGCAAGAATCTGCAGACGGTGGACGACCTGATGGGGAGCCTGCGGCGTAATCCCAGCATGAGGCCATTCCGCTCCGTCGCACACATGTTCGGGTGATTTACATCTTTGGAGGCGATGGATTTGCGGGATTGTCTGTGCATGCATCGCGCTGTACAGCTTGATCCCTGCCGTCCCTTTATTGGCATTGCAAGTTGAGGACTGTCGAAAGTCACAACTGCGACTCACAAGACAAAACAATTGGAGCACTGGCTGAAGGACTGGCAGTCTTTGAATCAGGAAAGCTTTGAGAACACGCTTCGTCTGCTCCAGAGTCTCAGCGGCGATCATGAAACATGCAACAAGATGTTGTCTCGCATGCTGCTGCAATGAAAGCCCTAAGGACAGACTATGGAGGGAGCAAGAGCATGTGGCTATGCCGCACTTCAGGCACCGGATGTTGAAGAGAGTACAGTGGCATCGCTTGCCTCTCTGCCGAGGTATTTTTTGTGCTTTCTGCTGAACAAATTGCCGTGGAACTTGGGATTTCCGCCCGCATCTGACATTCAAGCTGCTGCCTCTGCAATGTTTGGCTCTGCAGCTTGCTCGCATGTGATAGCAGGACGACACACCGCTTCGGCAAACCAGGGCCACTTTCTGTTGGACTGCAAACGAAGCCAGTGACGCCACCCGCTCAGGTGATTTCGGGATCCGTGTTAGCAGCGATTTTCGACACGGCTGCTGCGGTTGTGTTCTTCTTTGTAGGCCGATTCCTGCCCCTCGGTATAATCCCTTATCTGGACGCGACGCAGTTCGCTGTGCAGCAATCTGTCCTTTCAGCATGTGAAACCTAAGTGAGGTGCCGCTTGACGACGCAGGGACCGAAGCTGAGAATGGGTTGTACGTACACTTAGCGGGACCAACACGTGATTCACAACAGCAGCAGCATCAGGCAAGCAATCTCCCACGATGCTTGCTCTTGATGCTGCTCCTCGCCTGCCAGTGTCATGTCACCCTCTTTGCAGATGAGCCGTTGCGAGCAACTGCTTGTCATCGTCCTTGCTTCCAGGGTCGCAAATTGGCAGAGGAGGAGATTTCTCTCTTTGAGCTGGCTGCTTGCATTGCCGTGTACTTGGTGAGGACGGGCTTCGGCTGGTGCTTCTGCTCCAGCTGGGCTTTGGCCCTGGAGCGCCAGATGGTGCAATCTCAGTGGTAACACGGCCATGAAAGTTCAGAGTGCTGATCAATGGCAGTGTGTCACTTTTGTTACAATCAGTCTTGTGCTCATCACGATTGTGGTGTTATCTCGCAACCTGTCTTTCTTTAGTTGGGTTTCCTCATGTGTTATGATCAAGAATAAGTACATGATGGCTTCTACTGCCGTTCTTAGTCTGAGCATTTTCATGTCCTAGCATTGATCAAAGTCATTTTTGTGTAGCTATTGTTGTCACTAGCTCAACCATGGCCATTACCATCTTGTGATTGTTATGAACATTCTTTTTACTGTATATCACTATTATTGTTATTAGTACTACTGTCATCATGACAGAACTCCACAAAAGCATCGAGAGCAGCGGCTGCACCAGGGAATGGGAGCTCTCGGGGTGAGTCCGTCGAAGTTTGTCCTGGGCCTGGCCCCTGGAAAAGAGCGGCCAAGTGGTCCTCTGGTGGCTTTCGCTGTTGCCGGGGCTTTCCATGTGCTCGGAGCGATTTTGGGCAGGGGCTGGGATTGCAGGGATGATCAGGATTTCTAGCTAGATCCTTGGATCCCAGACATGAAAGTGCCAGGTAGCTTATCCACTCTCATTAAGCTAAACCTGCAGATCCTCGAGATCGACAGAACAGACGAATGACAAATCATCAGCACTAGTTTGGTGTTTTACATGCTGGATTTTGTAAGAGTCCTTGTGCAGTAGCTGGAAAAACACCCTGTGCAATCCGTGTTCTTCTCGGGAACACTGAGGCCATGGATTTGGTGCATTGAAGTGGTCTTTGGAACTCGCGATGCCCTCAGACTGCTGGTCAAGTCTACTCTACGGTGAGTTGTTGCACTGCAGGTATCTTCAGGTGCAGCCATGTCACTGTCCACACTTCCGACAAACGGCTTGCAGGCGCGGAGTTGACGGCTAGCTAAGTTGTTAGCTCCGCCGAACTCCAGTCACCACCGAAGGCCTCTTTCTTCGCCACCAGAGTCCTCGAATTTGTAGAGCCTGAAAGCCTTGCACTGGCCAACAGTGCTTTGGCACATCGCGAATTGAATGGGGATCTACAACACCCATGTCAGGCAGAGATGCCTTAGAGATGTTTTTGTGCAGTGCATCTTTAGATGTCATCTCCATCATCCGTAATGTATGCCTCCCCATGACGACTCAACAGGGTTCCGACAAAGTGCCCGGTAGAAGGATGAAAGGAGGGAAAAGCAGGGGTTCTTACGGCAGTCGTAAGTAAACACCGAAGACCGGCCAAAAACGCTATGTCTTCTTCTTCTTTCCGGCAGCAAGACGTTGGAGATCAAGAGACCTTGTCTACTCGGAAGACTTAACCCCCCCGCAGCTTTAGGGTTTAGGGTGTGCAGTTGCAATCTCCGTGACATAAGGCTTGTCAGGTGTTTCCCACCTCCCTTCCTCAAGATACTGGTTTGACATGCCCAGCTCCTTTTGCCGTTAAGCTTTGCTGAGATCGCGGAGTAGCGGAGTGTCCAGAAAGTAAAGTTTCGTGGCCTGGGTAGCGGAGTCTGCTTGAAGCTACAGCACAATTTTCCGGAGGAGTACAGGGAGAGTCCTATTTGCTAGGCTTCTATGCGTGGAAGGAGGTCCGTTCAATGGAGATGGCAAACTTTCGACCTGCCGTAGCAGAAATGTGCTTGCCTATCCCAAGAAGCCTGATGGAAGCCCCAGAGTGTGCAGGTCGAGCTCTTCACACTTCTGCAGCTTGTCCTTGCCGTCGCATCTGTCCGGAGCCCACTTTGCTGTAATTGATTCTGCGGTTGCGACCTGTAGACCATTCTAGTGCGCATGTCCGCATGTGTTTTGTACCCGACAGCTTCGTATGCGACTTCAGCTTGCAAGGCCGTGGCGATGACATTCCTGACCTTCGACCTACTGGATCAGTGGGATTCTCCGTGCTTGGTGCACTGCGCATCGGCACGAACTCTTGCCGCGTGTCGTGGCCTAGGTTCCTTGGACGCTTGTCTGCACGGCACGCTTCCACTTGGCCTTCCGTTGAGCCCGTGGATGTGTGGTGCACCCTGCCAACGGCCAACAGCTTAGCACGGCTCCGAAAAGCTCAGCCGAAAACCCGCTTCCTTTCAGACCGCTGCAACCGTCTTCCCCGAGGTCGACCTAGCCAGCATGAAAGCTCCTCCGACCGAGCCTTGCTTGGTTTCGGGCTACAAGGTGCCCTTTGCCCTTCAGTCGCCGAGGTCTCAATGGGACTTTAAGGAGTATCTGCTCGGGTCTGCCGTTTTTCCTGTTCTAGGCTCGATGACCTCCTGGATCCGAGGCTCCACGGGAGCAGTTTCATTCGCAAACCGAAGCAAGATATTGTGACAGAAGGTACCCGTGTGGGGACCACCCGGCACTGATGATGTATTCTCCAACTGGCACTTTCTCATCTTATGCCGTCGAGCGAGAAGTGATGGGCTCTGTCATGCACAGTCTTTTGCATTGTCCATGCTGCTGTGGACCTCATCATCAAGCAAACAAATTCAGGTTGTGCAGCATGCAGATGGTCTCCGCTTTGCGGACGGTTCGCCCGAACGGCCAGCTCACGTGCCTTCTCCAAGCATGCATTCATTAAATGCCAGGATCATGTCGGTCTTCGTGTGGCTTGTTGTTTTTGGCCAAGGTGCATCGCATGGAAGACTTTGGCGAAGCTATCTCGCATTTGTGCAGACATAGTCCCTGCGACATTCAGATTCCTGGCTCAACTTTCAGGACAATACATCCCGCAACTGCGGACGGCCAGATCAGATCGAGTGGCTTTTCGTTTGAGGTTTACCAACACTGGGAGCAAGCCTGTGATGTATTTCCGCCAGGGCTTTCCACCAAGACAGCGCATCTTGACGGCCATGCTGGACTTCTGTGGCCGCGTTGCATCGCGAGCAAGCCTGCTACTCCAAAGGCGATGAAACGCTTCGAAGCATGGGAATGAACCCAGATATCTTCACCGACTTCTCAACCTATTGCTCAGAGCCTTGTCTTTACATATGAGCCGCTCTCTCTCTCTCGCTTCCGTCTGCCACTTGATTAATTACTTCTGTTAGGATCTGGGCTCCGTGACTAACTTCCACTACGACCAGAGCCCTGGATTTCTTCAGATGTGTTCGGGACGCAAGAAGGAAACTCGCCGGCACTGGGACATCTGCAACCTGGAGGAAGCTTGTCATAATTTATGTAGTCGCTGATGACGCCGAGGTGCTGATCGTCCATCCACGCTATTCTGAGTACATGCGTTCTCCAGTCGACGAGAGGCGGCTACTTGTACCATGTCTCTGACGTTCTGACACATTTCGCGTATTTTCGTGCACTGATGCCTTGGACTGTCTGTCACTTTCGATTCGGCAGGCGATCTTGGATTACGACGGAAACGCAGGTTTGGAGTGGAAGAGGGCTTCTAGATGGTGCATCGCTTCGTTTCGAGACTTGATTTCCGAAGTCCATTCCTTGGCAGGCTGTCACTGTTCCGCACTGGAACATTATGTTGCTTCCTGGTGATTGCCGCGCCTCCGCATCCTATCAACAAGCGGTGACTGATTTTCTGATGCCATGTGCCAGTGTTGCCCAAGGTCTCTACATTCCAGCTGGGTACTGGCACCAGGTAACATCGCTTGACTCACCTACATTGGGGACGGTCGTGCGCTACAAAAAAAGCAACGGTACAGGTGTTCCCAAACAAGAAGGCAGACCTGCGCGATAATGCACGATGTGCATGCAAGCCCAATTCTTGGCCATGCCGTCATCCACCAGAGCTGTGAAGCTCCCACGCCCCCTGTTTCCACGATGTGTCGGGACCTGCTGTATGCTTTCCGCACAACATGTTGCAACACACGCAAGACAAGTCACATCGAGTCTAGGCATATCTGCGTCAGATACTTTCCCACTAGCTTCATGCTGCGACACTGCACAACACAGTTCACAAGACTTTCACATTGTGCTGAGAGTGAAGGACTCCATGTTGCAATGGTTTGGTGTGAAGCGCTGCGCAGATCTGTCCTGGTGTCGAGCACCATGTGGGTCTCGTGCGCGCAAGTCGGAACCATGTTGTTCCACGGATTGCTGCTTGACATGGGTTGGTCTGAGCAAGCTTTTTGACGAGCCCTCACGGACGGCTGCAAGCCTTCGTGCAACTCGTGAGAAATGCGTGCGCCTCCAGAGGGAAGCCGTCGCCAAGGCAGATATCTCGGCTCCGCAAGAGAGTCTGCGTGCAGCTGTTCGACACCTGGCGGCTGTGGAGAGGTGGCTCCAGCCAAAGCGCAGCACATCTTCAAGCAATCTGCGGCAGTGCGAGCCAGAAGAGCTTGCCGCGGAGCTTGGCCTCACGTCACTTGCAGGAGGCGAAGACTTGGAAGACTTCGTGGAGCACTTTGCCACGGCAGTTGGAACAGGTGAGTTGCTAGTTGCTGCCATTCCCTGCCTTCTGCAGTCCAAGACTTTTCGTCATCCGGGCACCTTCTACATCAGTTCAGAGCGACTGTGCTTTCGCTCTTCCGTCTTAGGTATGGAAGCCCGCTTGGCGATTTCCTGGTCTATGGTGGAATGGGCCCGGCTTATTACGAGCGAGACGAACTCCATGCATCCCGTGCGCATTCGTCTCAAGCAATCTGCCGAAGTTGATGGTAGCATGGTCGATAGCTTCGACCTCCGGATCTTTGATGTTGGAGCCTTGGCGCACATGCACAGCTGTGCCACCTATTTCATTGGAACAGGACTCTTCGACATCGTGCCGTCCGACGATCGTCGTAGCCTGTCTATCCTTTGTCCATCTCCATTGGGTGATGGTAGCGGAGTTGGCGAGACCTTAGCGGCTGGACCACGTGCACGTGCACCCACGCTGACAGCTGAAGCCATAGTTGCAGACCTGGAGCAGCTAAGTTTGGTTTGGGAGCTGCAAAGGCGAACGACAATCTGGCACAGCGACTGGCGAGCCCCCTTCCTTCCGCACGATTACCAAAAAGCCATCAAGTGGATGTCGATCCAAGATCATTACCTGCCACACCCCTTCATTCCCGACAACATTGATGTCGATGAGGCAGCTGAGAGCGAAGAACCTCCAATCGAAGAGGTCCAGTTCCTGGGCAGGAAGCGTGCTTGCAAATGGGATGTCGTGGTGGACGAAAGCACAGATTCTGAAGGATGGCAATATGCCATTGACTTCTATTTGGAGCCGAACAAGTGGAGCAACAGCCTCCGAGGCTTTTCACATGTTCGCCGCAGGAGATGGCAGCCTACATTCGCAGGAGAAGTGCCCGTGCAGGAAGCAAGTACACGAAGGTCTGTGTCGTTTGAGAGACACCACTCGACGCTGATGGCCGAGAAGGGGGTTTCGCCGCCGCAGCAAATTCTGGTGGCTGACCTAGGGAGCATTTCGCTCCAATCAATCCGGGATGATTTGGAAAGCAATGATTGGGAAGCAGAGCACAACCTGATGTCCATGCACTTTCAAGATCTTAAGATGCATAGCATCGAGCTTGGGCCGTTTGTGAGCGGCACCTCTTCGGGTTCCAAAGTGCTGGGCAAGCTCCGCTCGATGTCCATGCGTGTTCCAGTTCCTCCGGCACCAATGTGTCCGAAAGAGTCCCGCTGCGCATGCACTTGGCATGTTGTGTGCGAGGATGACAAGTGCCTGCTTGAAAGCGTAATCATGTCCCTCGACGTGCCATATGGAACGTGCTTCAATGTCATCAAGTGCGATACATTCAGCAGAGATGAGAAAAGCGGTAACACCATGTTGGAGCGCAAGTTCTCTTTGGAGTGGGTTAAGGGATGCTGGATAAAGTCCCTGGTGGAAGCGAGTGTTCCCAAGGAGGTCAAGGCAGATGGCGAGCAGTGGGCAGAGCTCATCAAGAAGTGGGCTCAGCAAAAACCCACCAAGCCAGAAGTAGTTGAAAAGAAGAAGAGGCCACCAGAGCTTCGATAAAGCTTCTCTCTTGTGAAAAATTCTTCAGGACAGCGAGCTGGCTCCATGGCTCGCAGAGAATTGCCGAAGATGAATCCTCGTCCCACTGCTGCAATTTGTGCGTACAAGGCTTAAGAGTACCACGGACTTGTGCAAATTCGATCACCGTCAGTGGACTACCCCAACAACCCCAGAGCCCTTATGGCAGAGCTAGGGATAAATAATAGATTTCTGGACAGTTTTCTGCGTGGCTGCCTCGCGCCGCGACTGTGAGGCAGGTTCTCCTCGATATCTTGTTGAGAGTATGATATACGGTAATTGCTCGTCATTACGATTCTAGCGGCTGTCGGCCAGGGCAGAAGCATGGCGCCTGCTGGGAGCAGCTCAGAACGCGGCCCCATGCTATTCTGACCCGCCAGCGTAGACGTCGTCGCGATTTCTTCAGCGAAGGTTCCAGCTCAAGCAGATCGTCGGACGAGGACTTGCTGTTTCCCCGGCGGTTCAGGTAGATTCGCCAACCCACCTTCTATGCTCAGGACCAGCCTATGGTTTCAGTCATACGCGCTGAACTGGTCCGCGGGCACCGCCCTGTCGTTGTCTCCGAGGCGCGGCATGTGGGTTTGGAAGAGGTTGGTGCGTAACAACCAGCAACACGTCTAAGCCTCGTGGTACACCTGCGGCAGGTACCTGTTTACATCGGCCTGAAGGACAGGGATGGGCGGCAATTTGAGGACAAGGGAACTTGTGTTGAGCTGAGATCTTTCGTCGTAGTTCAGCCATACATGTTGCATCCAGCGGAATTGTGCTCACCCAGGCCCTTACGTGAACTATCGCTGGCTTCGAGGCCCAGTTGTGAGGCGAGCGTTTCGGAGATCTTTCTCAGACCGTGCAGTTCTACTGCAGTTTCGGTTTCGAGGCCGTGTTTCTACCATCCGCACAAGCAATCCCTTATCAGGGACGTCGTGTGGAGCCTGGCAGTTGATGTCGCTTCAGAATTGATTCTGACAATCTTCTGCAGTTCGATGGATTGCTTTCCTAGAAGGCAGTGAAGCAAGCTTACTGCAAGCTTACTGGCGCCCCTCATGAACCGCCTTGAACTTGTGCTCTCCATCCCGTGTTTGCGTTGTTGCTTCGGTCTCACGACTTCAAGGCTCCTGGTCTAGTGCTGAAACTTTTTGCGTTAGGCAGTTCTTGTTGTCGACATGAAGCCAGTGTGCCGAGGCAAAGACGCGCTTGTGCTACTGCTCGAAGGAGAGATTGCCCGAAAGATCCTGAAGCCATGGTGCCGTTCAGATGGCCCCTGAGGAATGCTTTCTCAAAGGATGGAGCAGCATCCCACCTGAGAAGCTTGGAGCCTTGAAGCTGTCGGGCTGATGCATATGTTCGAGTGGACTCGCATGAGGTATGGAGATGCTGACGAGGATGCGAAGCAGGCCGACGGCATTTCTTCCTGTTGCGAGCGTGCAGTCGGATGTTGCAGCTCTTGCAAAAGGCAGAGCTGTCAAGCGGATGTGTTCGGTCCAACATCGCAGTACAATCGCACGATCGTGCTTGAGTTGACACTTCTTCATATGGACAGGTCCCTAGCTAGCTGCAGCAGCAGTCACTCCCGGAAACAGCAGCACGGGCAAACCACAATTCCTGTAGCTTGTGATTTTGTTGCTCCGAGCTTGCAATTTGCCCATTTCGGAGATTGGAAATCTTGCCTTAGCGCAAGACGTTAAGAAAGGGCATGATGCGCCCGAAGTTTTGCGGGACGACTGTCAGAAAACCTGAAGGCAAGAGCAGCTCTGACTGCACCTGTTGCCAGGAGCCTGTTGCGGAATGGGTAGAAGTGGTGCAAGACTCAGAAGACATCACCAGAGGTTTTGCTTCGAGCTTCTTATGTGTATGGAGAGACGGGAAAAGAGACAATCAGCCCTGAGGATCTTTAATCTTGTGCTATCCCAGGACGATCCTGTTGCACTTTGTATCTGATTGCTGCTGAAGGCGAACACGCGCTCCTACTGCCCTCAAAAGGAGGCTCTTGCTGCATACTGTCCAACACAAAGCTTTTTAAAGTTGTGTGTGCTGTGCACAGACCACAACTTCCACGTTTGGGCTTCCACTCGTCACTGCCTACGATGTCGCACGGGTAGGACATTGATCGGCCGCTGCGCTTGGAGATCATTCCCAATCGCAAGGACACATAAATTAACGATGCTGGGAACTGGTGCTTCCCTGTGCTGGCACAATTTCCCGAAGGACGGAAGTGTTGCAGAAGCCAGCAAGATGGTCATCACAACGGGCACGGTCATTCCAACCCCGAAGGAGGCTCCAAGCTACGAGGATTTAGGGCTTAGGGCTTCAAGACAACGCCCATCTGACTAGGTACGTGTGCGACGAATGGTCACCAACGGCAAGCACCTGAATGCATGGGCCTTGGCTAGATGCCACCACGCCCTGCATCTCGATTCCTTTGTGTGGAAGGCTGTTAGTATTGACGGTGCCCAGGCAGAATGGCTGAACAAGCAGTTCAAAGTCATGAACTGGAATGTCGTGACCTCGTGGGTGGGACAAGTCTTCCATCATGTAAGCATCAATGACGAGAGCACAAGGTGCTTGCAGACCTGTATGCCACTGAATCCGTCTCCCGCCTCAGCTTTGACCACTCCTGCCTGGTAGGTGTCTGTCCATACACGTTGCTTAGTTACCTTCCGTTTGCAAGCACAAGGTTTATCCATATTGCGAGAAGTGGGCATTATCGTGGAACTGGAGGAAGCACCTTATCATGAAGGCCTTGCTTGGTGCATAATGCAGAAGCAGAAGCGCCTCTGATTCGTGCAGCATGTCTGCAGGAGCTGAAAGCGCACGCGGCTGACATCATCACTCTCCAGGAGGCCGGCTCAGCCAGAGTTCAAGTCGACGAAGACTCTCAATCTGCACTGGTGTATATCAGGTGCAGAAGGATGCATTTGACGACTGGTTCAGGCAGTCGCTTTATGTTGTGTAGACATTTTGATGGCATCTGGCCGGAGCACAGAAAGACGCAGATAGCCTGGGTCTTGCGTGATCAGAGGCCTGGGCTGCAAGAAGCTGGCTACGAAGGTGTCTTTCAACAGAAGAAGCGGGACTCAAGCCTACACAGAGCACGACTGCTTCTACATCCTGTCCTTGGGTTGCTTGTTCGACATACCGATCCGTGAGGACCCAATCTTCCACCGAGGGAAGTACACGGCGGAAGGCCGACGGGCAAACTTGCTGAGAGCTGTCACAAGCCTTGACTCGTGCAGGCTGTGCTACATTCTACAAGCCAACACGCTTCCGCCGCCTTGACAAGCAGGCAAGCAAGTGTTGCTAGTCTGCTGCCACCTGCAAGTGAAAGCATCGCTCCAGGTGATTGACTACGATCGCATGTCCCAGCAGGAACTGGCGAGGCATTTCGGCCGAGAAGATGCTTCCAACATGCAAAGGCTGTCCAAAGGCTCGCCGGTTGCACTGCGACGCGTAATATCAAGTCCTTGATGCAAGAACTGTTCCCTCACTCCTGCACAGGAAACATTGCCCTCGCACTGTTGCTGGAGGACCAGCACATTAAGGCTGATCCGGCAAGTAGCCAGGCTCGTCGCGGTCGCTTGGCCAAGGAAAACTGCCTGATACTTTTTGAGCAGAGGCCGGGCCGAACGGCGGTCACAGCCTGGTAGTTGCTCGGGGCTTAACGGCTGAGTGGGGCGCGATATTGAGCCGGCGGAAGAGTTTTTGCAGTCTTGGTGAACGTTGAGGTGAACACCCACATTTTGTGCGACCCCAGCGCTTCGGATGTGAAGCTATGGCAGGTACTTTCGTTCATAACTATTGACTATTCTGTCTGCATTGCTCTCCTTGTGCAGACGCACTTGCTGCTCCAAAACCTGAAGCAGACGCGATGGGATCACATGCCAGTGTTCCCAGAGACTGTCTTTTTGCAAGCAAGCTGTGATGCAGATGTAGTCTTTGAGGCCTCTCCTCCTAGCTGGAGATTTTAACTCCACTCCAGAATCTGCAGCCGCGACCCTGTGAAATAGATCAATTTGCCATTGACTGTCTGCCCTCAGCAGCATCAAATTTCGATCAGGTCTACCAGTTTCTGCGAGAGGGTCAAGTGATGCAAGAGCATGAGGCGAGACTTGGAGGGGGGGGGGGGGCGGAGACACTTTGTTGAAATGGATCCTTTGCGCCAGGATCTGAAGCATGATCCTTGCGGGCTCCTAGGTCGGCCTGCACCCTACAAGCGTGCAAAACGCAGCATCACACAGCGCAGACGGCGTTGGAGTATCTGAGGCTGAGAGATCATATGCAACACAACCTGCAGTTGGCCACAGCATATCAAACCTGCAATGGAGCGAGCCTTGACTTCTGTCAACAGCCCTTTCAGCTGTCAGCTAAAGCCATGTTCGCGAAGGTCAGGAAGCACTCTACACCAATTACACTGAGGACAGCTTTGATCAAGGCCCACCAAAGACAGCTCCTTTTGCTGCCTGCGCAGGACTTCAAGGGTGCACTGGACTATGTTTGGTTCTCCCATCAGGCATCGGAGTAGGCAATCTACTTCTCCTGCAGCACAGCCGTTGAGAGGAGCAGCGTAGTGCATGTACACTCTTGTTCGAGGCACTGTCGGTGCTGGCGGTGACGCAGGTAGACGACGAGCAGAGCTTGAAAGAGGACCTCAGTCTCCGAGAATCACACAGCCTGGACACAGCCTGCCTGTTGTCTTGAATTTCGCAGGAAACAGCCCTACCATCCAGTAATCGTCCATCGGACCACGCTGCTCTCTCGGTTCTTTCAGCTGAGTACTCGACGGAACCCTCAGCCTCGAGCCTTTTGAGGTTTCCCTGGTCGCAACTTTCATGTTCCATGACATCGTCCCTCACCACGAGCGCAAGGCAGGATGTTAGTCTGCAGTTGAAGGATGCTTTTGCACACGAGCCAGGTGCGGCAACATGCCATGAACGATGTTCACGCGTGCGCCTGGAATTGCATAACTTCACGCAGTCTGCTCCAGCCGGTCCAGATATGATCCCGCGATCACTTGGCAGGTACCACATGAGCCTTGCAGGACAAGGTCGGGAGTTGGGAGCTTGAGCTGATCCGTTCAAGATGCCATGTTGCCTTGCAAGGACCTTGGGGCGACTACGGCATGTGATGGCTCCTGGAGGGTCAGTTGCAGGACGCTCAGAGCAGTTTCGTGACTCTGCGTTTATCTCGCACTGAAACAGCTTGCAGGAACATGGTCTCCGTCGCAAGGAGCTTAGTCGAAACATGCGTTCTTTATCTGAACGAAGGGACGTGTTTAGAGTCACCGGAAACGGGCGGAGAGTCCTTCCAATTGGCACCCTCGAGGCTACAACTACCTGGGCCAGCGGATAGACTGAGTGCCAGTGGAATTTGCTGCCGTGCCTTGCGGGCAGGCTCTTAGTAGTCTTAATGTTGTCAATGTGTTATGTGCCTCAGTACCAGCGCGCTGAGGTGTTGTCTGGCTCTGCCAAAGTGCACTGGAAAGGTTTGTCAGGGCAGGGCGAGATGAAGAACTCCAGAGAGGTGCTGATGAATCTGTCAGTGCCGCTGGAGGAACTCTGTCGGGCAGATACGGAAAGGAGCCCATGGAGGATCTCTTGCCACGTCGAACGCAAAGTCAGGAAAGAGGCGCTTCTGGGGCGATTGGCCCAAGTCTCAACATGGAAGCTTGTAAGCTCACGCTGCTTGGAACCTTGACAGTCCCGAATGGTTGGCCAGCTCAAGCAGCTTGCTATGACACAAGCTATGCATGAATAACTCATATCATGCCAGCAGACAGCATCAGCTTTGCCGTTGTGGGTCTTGCAACGTAACGCAGAATCCCGGAAGCCAGCAAGATGGGGGCCGCTTGCTCGCAGAATTGCCACTGGAGCCGTTACCTCTCAAATTTGTAGCACAATCCTTCAGTGCAGTCATCGCTGTTTGCCGAGTACTGAGGCTTGCCAGGCACCGGAGGCAGTTTCTGACCAAGAAGGAAGCCGCCGCATTTTTCCATGGGAGCCATATAGGAAGCCGTGTGACTGCACTGCCAGTAGCAGTGGACGACGAGCCCCCTTCACGGTCTCCGCCAGCCGCCGGAAGCTCATGAACTGGCTTGCTGTGGAGGTTCTTGTCACGAATGGCAAGTCGTGCTAGGTCTTCGAGAGTGATGACTGCAACATGGAGGACTACGACCCTGAGGCAGGCAGTCCCACGACAGGCTAGGCAGACATGTCATTCGGAAATCGTTTGCCGCCCATATGAAAGTGGATCCCCACCCTGGGTTCGTTTTTCGGAAAAGTACCACGCCTATCTTGGAAGGGCTGCAGGTTGTTGGTGCTGAATTGGAGGGCTCACCTGCAAGGGTGGTGAGATGGGTTTGACACCCATGGATCCCTTCAAGGTTCAATCTATGTTCTCATCGCTCCCTCCAGCGGTGGGGCTTTCTGACCACCAATCCGTTTGGACTGAGGGTTTGGCATCACTTCTGTGCCCATTACTCCTTTCATGGCTGAGGGTTTGCTACCCGTTGCTCTTTTCAGATTTCGCTTTTTGCTGCCCGTGTCGAAAATGGGCTATTGTGCTGTGCCATTCGCATCCCCTCTGAACCTGGCGTCTTCCTTGGCGGCAGACGGCAGTAGGGAGGGTGCGGAATTAGGTGCTGCTGGCTGAAGCTTGTTGTTCCGGTCTGTCTCACCAAACGGTGCTCCACAGCATTGCATCCGAACGGTCAAAGAAGTGGCTATTGGCCTGCATCGTGCCGCGAGACTTCCTCTTTGACGGTACAGCCATTTTTTTCTTGGATCGCTGTGTTTGATTGTTCAGTCAGCTTTTCTTTCTAGCGCATGTGGCAGTCTCATGCCGAAGTGGCGTTTGGCAGGTTTTGCAATCTTCAACTCGCTTGTGTGAATCGGCTCACCAGTTGCTCCTGCAAGTGAGCGGCACTGACCTGTGGCGGTTGGGCTCGAACCTTTAGGGCCCTTGAGCTGTTATCGCTACCGAGTGTTAGCAAGCCAAAAGTCCGCAGT